AGTGGGAGCATCCACTTCATGTATGGACATAAACCGGGATCGTATCAGGGCTCCTTTAGCCCGCACTTGCAACAGATGCTCTAGATCTTGCTTCTTTTCACATAAGATGCCCGCTGAAGAAGAATCAGAATTCTGAATCATACCAGATGTGATGTGTAAGATCTCTTGTTCTATTTCAGCAATTTTTTGTTTCATTTTTTCTTGTTGAAAAGCACGTATACTGCTGACAAAACAGTTTTATTTGTGTCTTTCCTATTTCCCACCACTGTATTACATTCTCAAATTCCTTTTTCATAAAACGCCAGTCATTCCAAAACAGTTCAAATTTTTCATAAAACTCTTTTTCTTTCAGCAATGCGGTGTTAAATTTCCAATAAGGACTTTTAAATTCGGATTGTGTTAAAGCAACATTAACTGTAATAAAATGGTGGTCAGATAAACAACATGGGAAAATATCACAACCCGTTATTCTATTATTTTCAGCACGCTGGACGTAAAACCTGTCCAGTCTTGCTACACTTATCAGTCCCTGTGAAACCTTTGTCCATGTATATTGTTTCATCTCTTTATTCCTATCTCTCCAAACATCTACCAAATCATTCTGAATTATGAAGCTTTTTAAGAAAGAAGCTGATACAGGATGTGGTTCCTCATTATTTCTGTCTAACAGAAAATTAAGAGTACAGTTCCAGTCCCCACCAATGATTAAAGCACCATCCAAAGTATAATCTTTCAAAAATTCTCCTAATTTTCTAAACATGATAATTCTATCTGACCCTTTATTTGGAGCATAAATATTTATAAAAACAAATAACTGATTTCTAACTTTAGCTTTCACCATCAATATACGTCCTTTCTCTATTTCCTTTTCTGATAAAATACTAACATTAAGGTGAGTTGAGAATAAAATCGCTACACCTGCACTGACATTTGTGCCGTGGCTTAAACACATTTTTCCATCCCACCACAGGTTTAACTCCGATTCATTCTCTATGTCACTATGAGTTTCTTGTAAAAATA